ACATTTGTTTAGGTTCAGATTCGTTATAAACATTACATTTGACTAGGTACTGAATCTTTATACATTACAAATGTACATTTGCTGCTATTTTAAACTTATATTAAAGTTTTTCTTTCATTACCCATTCAAACCGTCTGCAATCATTATTAATATATATATATACATATGTACAACCAAAACACTAATATATATATATATAACGAAAACACCAATATATATATATATATATATACATATAACCAAAACACTAATATATATCTAGCCAAGACACCAATATATATATATATATATATTTATATATATTTGTTCTCCTAACTTAAAACTAAGAAAACCAGATTCGAAGTTTTGGAGTCGACATATTTCGTTATCTAATTACTCTAAGAAATATTTGAAACTTTAGCACGTGCCCATTGAATTTTTTTTCAGTAAGAAATTAGTAATCTGAGCACAAAATAAAACTTGAGTTGCGTCCACAGCAATTTAGAATTGACGACTGATTTTTGTTTGAATAGATGATTGGGCTTAATTAAGAAATTAAGGTTTCTTAAACAATATTAAAACATCCAGACAAACGTCACACGGGCACATAAGAAAATCTCCAAAAATATAATATTAAAATCAGATATAAATAGAAAATAAAAAAGAAATTGTAATAGCTAGGTTGAGTGTAAACTCAAAAAATAACTGTTTCACACCAAAAATACGCCTAATATTAATAAAGGATTGCAGCCCTACTAAATAAATTTTTGTTAATAAAATTAAAGAAAACAACTACATTTACTCTAGATACTAATAATAAACGAACTTTACTTCATCAACGTTTAGCTATTGAAAGAAATAATAATAATTATAACTGCCTTTCTACGAATTCGCGCGAGTGAAGTTATCCAATGACTGGAAAGGTGAATTCCAAGAAGATTGTGAGAGGTTCAAATACCACAATAACTAGTAAAATTATTACTTGGTTAGGCTTACTTATTTATGTAACTGTTATTAATTTGAATATGTACTTAGCCTGGACTTTAGTTGTTTACGGTATAGTTTTATTATGAATTTTTTGTTATAGCTATTTATGGAAAGCTTTTACCTTGAAAGTTCAAAGTTGATTTAAGAGCTCAATTCGTCTAAGTTATAGAATGATGTAACTAAGCTTTACCACTATGCTTTTAACACCTTACTAAAACTTACATTTCACAAAATATTACTCGAGTACTGTTTATTCCTTCAAAAAAGTATTTACGTGTTGTAGATCGAGGTTAGCTAAATTTGTCATGCTATAATAATTCTTTCAAATTGAGGCCATAAACACCTGTTCCGCTACAACATCATGAGAAAACTTAGTCCATTCTGCCATTATAAAAATTCTGCTTACTTTGTTGATGTGTTGAGCTCTGGTCCTATCATTTATGGTAACATTAATATGAATAATCACGCATTTTGTACACGAAATGTAGAAACAGCTATAAACCTCCATTAAAGCTTAATTATTGTTAGGTCGTAATTCAACCAGTTTTTCCGTTCTGGTTCCAACTACAAGCATGCCTAAGTTCGTGCCTTTTAGATCTACAAAAATCGGTTACACAGCGTCGGATTTCCTTCGAGTTTTGAATAATATCTGATCTCATTGTCTTCTGGAAGTCGGAAATTAATTGGTCGGTGAGAATAACGCTCTGGGTATCTTTTTGCGTGATAACTCGAGGAAACGCGAAACTATGGACGTGTTGTTACACATTTTAAACTAACACTCTGTAAGAAATACGCTATATATCTCTTCTGATCTTAATTTATACACAACACCTGAAGTCGTTAGATCAGAAGAAAGGACCTAACAAAGACAAACACGGTTGAGATGATGAAAACATTATATTTACATGATTCGTCGAATGTATTATTTCATCAGCGATGTCTAAAAACAAATAGTCTTAGCAGTACCGAAGGGCGCGAACGTAGAAAACATTTGGAAACCGTGTCTAGAATTAAAACCTTCTTTTACCATAAGGATCAACAATTATTTATTTAGGGCTCATACATAAATACACGTATAGTGACAGTAAGGCCTCTTAAATAGGCAAAACTGAGCGGCATTTGAAAATGTGAGTGTTGAGCCACATAGCACGGTCAAGTAGAACTGGTTTTTACCAAATAAAACCCTGCCACTTAGCTATTCCACCTATTTAGTGGGATTAAATAGATCTGGTTTTTACTAGTAAAACGTTGTCTCTCAGCTATTCCACCTATTCAGTGGGATTAAATAGATCTGGTTTTTACTAGTAAAACGTTGTCTCTCAGCTATTCCACCTATTCAGTGGGATTAAATAGATCTGGTTTTTACTAGTA